CAGTTCGGGTGGGGTCTTAGTAAGAATATCCCCTCCTAGGCATAGAGACTCAATCACCCTCTGGCTGTCCGGAGAGAGAGCACTGTAGAAGTTCCCCACGGTGAATGCATCACTGAAGCCATGATGGGGACACTGCCAGAAAAATCCCATGTACCGCTCCCATGCATCAAGAAGTGACTCGTCTGGCTCTTGGCGGAAGTGAGTGATCTCCCGCTGGATCTCTGTGGTCTTCGATGCCGGATAGTACCTGTGCAAGAACTTGTTGGCCAGATCGTCCCAAGAAGTGATGGACAATGGGGGCTGGGTCTCCAACCACCTCTTAGCATTCCCCGCTAGAGAATGGGGGAAGAGGTGAAGGCGGATTGCTTCATCAGGGACACCGTTTAGCTTGAACCCGTTCGTCAGCTGCAGAAAACGGGAGAGATGCACCCTTGCCTCCTCATCCTTCAAGCCATGGAACTGGATAGAGGATGTAATGAGTTGAATCCATCATGGCTTGATCTCGAAGTTGTTCGCTGGAATGGGCGGGTAGAGGATGACAGGGCGGATGTCAGCAATCCGTGGGGTGTAGTAGTACTACAAGGTGGGACCCGGCGGCGGTGGATGATGATGAACCCCATCTGCATGGGGTATGGGGTTGTTCCCCAAGATCTGATTTGCCGGGGGAACCTGGTGAGGATTCCCCTGGTGTGGATTGTGATCTCCTTCCATCTCGTCCTCGTCCTCGGACTCGCTGCTCAAATGGCCATCTATGCGCTCCTCCGTAGCCAGTCTAGCTCGCCGTTGTCTCCTAAGTTGGCGACATGTGCGTTCAAGCTCCGGATCCAACGACAGTAAACCTCCTTACTGGCTACGGGTCATGCACTACTTGCACACAGTCAAGCAGCAAACCCGTGAAGGCACAAGTGGGACAAAGCAAACAATGCAAAAAGAAAAGCTAAATTAACAGAATTCACGTTTCTTCAACAACCTAGCCGTCCCCGGAAACGGCGCCAAAAACTTGACTCACTCCTACTGTCACTCTAGAAAATGGCCAAGTGTAACCACTTCCTAAAGCGTAGTATAGTGGGTTTGGGATTTAATGTCAACCCGGGTCCTAGATGTGATGACTACTCAGCGAATTCTTATTATCTAGCGGTGAAACTTTAGTGCAAGTTCAAACAAGCAAACAAGTAAAGCAAGCAATTAAACGGTTGTTTTCAAGTCGAGAGAGGTCACCCGGATATGGTTCCCCCTAGACTGCAGTTAAGCCGGATTGTAATTTACCAAGTTCAATTTCTATGATAGTTATACTGCGGAAGGTTCTTAAACGGTCTGAAGTCTTGACTAAATGTCTCCAGACCCTCTCAATCTGAGTCTCCAGCGGGCGACTAACCTAACATACAAATCATTCAAGCCTCAATTGAATATAATCAAATCATAAAATCTGTACTTGGGTTCATACAATCAGACCTAACATACAAATCTAGGGTTCTCATACCCAGATGAATGGGGAAACTACTCCATGGAGAGAGAAACAAAAGCATATTCAGATGCGGAAACCATACTGTGAAGGATGGGTTTCTGCTCCTGGTCGTCAATCGGCACTTCTCCAAGCTCAAGCCGGGCTCCAATGGTGATGAAGATCAAGCTAGGGTACTTGGGAACTCTGGTTCGTCACTTTCTCTCTCTAGGAATCGCTCTGTCTGATAGACCATTGATTACACATGTTTTTACCCCTATCCTTGAGCCGTTTGAGATGTCGATTCTCGCGTTTTAGGCCGATTTCACGCTAGGCTGTTCTTGTTTTTGATATTTCAGGTCCTAGTACGTGAATGAAGGTTTATGAACGAGTTCGGGGTCGATTGGACGAAGTTTGGACGTTCGGCGAGAAGCGGAGAAGCCACACGGGCATGCCTAAAAGCCACGTGTGGAAATTGCAGGGAACTCACACGGGAACCCTGGGAAGCCACACGGCCGTGTGGGTCGTGGCCGTGTAGGAAGCCTGAAGCCACTTATCAAAACGTTGCGGTTTGCACAACTCACACGGGCAGCTGGGGATGTCACACGGCCGTGTGGCCTGGCCATGTGAGCCGGGATTTTCTGGTTTTAAGCCAATTTTCAGCAGAGGAGAATGTAGTTCCGAGTTTTAGAGAAAGAAAGCGATTCCTAGAGAGAGAGAGCGACGAACCAGAGTTCCCAAGTGCCCTAGCTTGATCTTCATCACCATTGGAGCTCGGCTTACACTTGGAGAAGTGCCGATTGACGACCAGGAGAAGATTCTCATCCCTCACAGCATGATTTCTGCATCTGAACCTGCTTTTGCTTTTCTCTCCATGGAGTAGTTTTCCCATTCATCTGGGTATGGAGAACCCTAGATTTGTGTATTAGGTCTGATTGTATGAACCCAAGTACAGAATCTATTATTTGATTATATTCAATTGAGGCTTGAATGATTGAATGACTTGAATCCTGATCAAATTCCTGTTATTTCTGCTTTAGCCTAGAAAGAGAATATCTTCCTAGGTTGATAGAGCACCCTTAATTGAAGGTAGTGAATTGGCGACTTTAGTCGAGGAGCCAATTCACTATTCTGTACTGAATTTACTTCGGTAGTGGAGGTTTGGTTCGTTAGGGCCTCAATCTGTTTACTCAGGTGGAGGTTAGTCGCCCGCTGGGGACTCAGATTGAGAGGGTCTGGAGACCTTTAGTCGAGACTTCAGACTGTTTAAGAACCTCCCGCAGTATAACTATCATAGGAACTGAACTTGGTAAATTGCAATCCGGCTTAACTGGAGTCTAGGGGGAACCATATCCGGGTGACCTCTCTCGACTTGAAAACAACCGTTTAATTGCTTTGCTTGTTTTGATTGTTTGAACCTGCATTATAGTTTCGCCGCTAGATAATAAGAATTCGCTGAGTAGTCATCACATCTAGGACCCCGGTTGACATTAAAACCCAAACCTGCTATACTGCACTTTAGGAAGTGGTTGCACTTGGCCATTTTCTAGAGTGACAGTAGGAGTGAGTCAAGTTTTTGGCGCCGTTGCCGGGGACGGCTAGGTTGTTGAAGAAACGTGAATTCTGTTAATTTAGCTTTTCTTTTCGCATTGTTTGCTTTGTCCCACTTGTGCCTTCACGGGTTTGCTGCTTGAATGTGTGCAGGTAGTGCATGACCCGTAGCCAGTCAGGAGGTTTACTGTCGTTGGATCCGGAGCTTGAACGCACCTGTCGCCAACTTAGGAGACAACAGCGAGCTAGACTGGCTACGGAGGAGCGCATAGACGGCCATTTGAGCAGCGAGTCCGAGGACGAGTACAAGATGGAAGGAGATCACAATCCACACCAGGGGAATCCTCACTAGGTTCCCCCGGCGAATCAAATCTTGGGGAACAACCCCATACCCCAGGCAGCTGGGGTTCATCATCATCCACCGCCGCCGGGTCCCACCTTGGAGTACTACTACACTCCACGGATTGCTGACATCCGCCCTGTCATCCTCTACCCGCCCATTCCAGCAAACAACTTCGAGATCAAGCTATGCTGGATTCAACTCATTACATCCTCTATCCAGTTCCATGGCTTGAAGGATGAGGAGGTAAGTGTGCATCTTTCCCGTTTTCTGCAGCTGACGAACGAGTTCAAGCTAAACGGTGTCCCTGAGGAGGCCTTGGTTACACTTGGCATTGTTTGTTGTGTTGTAGCGTGTCAGTATGTTCTCGCAATGCCAATGACCATTCTCGAAGATCCAAGTACTCGATTTCACACACTCAAATTGAAACAAAAACATATTGGTACCAAACACTGAAACAAATACCCTGCCATCTCTTCCCCAGAAATATTGAGCCCATCGACATATGATAGCGATCGAGGGCGCCCCTGTGAGGAATTGACCCACCAGAGCATTGCACCATCTGACCGCTCCTTAATCATGAATTCCCTGGTAAAGACTAGATCTCCGTCCACCAGATTCAGTGCAACATAGCGAAGACGATTGCCCTCACCCACGCCAAATAGCTGAGCCCAATTTAGGGGGCTCCAGTGCGGCCATGCCATCGCGTAAACGTGAAAATTCGAGCTTGGTCAGAAGGTGTAATAAAGATGAGAGAAGGGAGATCGTTTTCAACTAGCGCGCAGTACTTAGGGCATGTCTATAAAAATTACAAAGCCTTGATTCCCGACTAAGCGGTATAATCAGTTTCCTGCCAAGTCAACACAATCGCATGACGTTCACCGCTTGTCAGAGCAATAACACGAAGTATTAACACATAAGCAAATAGTGTAAAGCGGTATCACACATAGAAGATTCAATAAACATCAAAGCATCAAATAATATAAACCTGCTCTGACAAGGTAGCCAGAGAATTGTTAACACACACGGAGCATCTAGCACTTCCAAAAGATAAAGTTTTTAAGTCAAGGTAACATGCCACTTTACAGGCCCTACAAAACATCATCTAAAAAGAAGAGAAAGGAACATATAAAATGCTCTTAGAACCTTCACTACCATCTCCGCCTTCACCTTGAGAGGCCACATCTTCTTCCTCATGTTCCTCCTCATCAGCCTTAGAGTTCACATCTGAGTCAGTCCAACCGCCAATTGCATCCCAGATTCTGTACGTGTTCCAAACCACATTAGGTTGGTCACGATGAAACCAATGCAGAATGGCAACCACCGCATTACCAACAATATCCTTATAATGTTCATTGTCAAGTGCCAAAAACTCGGCTGACTTCAAGTAGGTGGGGCCATCCTCGGCTCGAGCGACAGCTAGGTTTGACTCGCGTTTCTCCAGCAAAACTGCCTTGTCTAGCTTAAGGGCGGCCACCTCCTTGCGGAGCGCTTTCTACTCCTCTAGTAATGCTCTCTCAAGCTCTCTAGACTTCCAAGCCTTCTCTTGAAGATGATCTCGCTCCTCAAGGATCGCCCTGGAAGCATCCTTCTCCGCAAGCAAGTCACGCTCTTTCTCGGCCAGCCGCTCTTCAAAGCTTCGTGCCACTTGCGGCCGCACTTCTTCCATTAGTGCCTCCCTCCCTCCCTGCCATCACTCAAACTCTTCTTAAGATTGGCGATCTCGACCGTGTTGTCATCAACAGTCTTGGATAGGCGGTCGTTGAGCATGATGATTTGCGAGAACCTAATTTGAGCTCGAAAACAAACACCTAATGAGTCCAAAGCAAAAATCAGTAATAAAGCCAGACGCCTATTGGTGCCATGCGAAGAAGCAGTATACTTAGTGGGCATGATGAGCTGGTACTAATCAGACGCTAACATATATCTTCCCAGCATTTATAAGCCTTGCAATCTTTCCCAGACCACATGGCTGACAAAGAAAATATATAGAAACCTAAGTATAAACAACTGAATTGGGAGAAAGGAGCAGTAGACTATCTCCAAACTACGAGTAGAAGTTATGAACATGAGGCAGACATACAAACTATGATAACATCAAGTAATAATTCTATATCTCCCAACTGGTACACATGCACATAAAAGCTGGCTTTTCTTTGGGTTGAATCACAGCCTTGATAGTAGATAGAACCTCTTTAGCAACCACAAACAGTTTCTACTGTATTTGTTGAACCATTCTGTAGGCACCACTTTTTGTCCGGTTAAAACATATTTAATTAATTAAAATTTAGTTTTTTGTTTGATATTTGCAATAGCAAATTTCTACCTAAAATGTATTATAGTGCTTCGGATGAGTTGTCACTTTGCCTCAATTGAGATTATGCAATAGCAAATTTCAATTGATTCATTTTGATAGTTGATACGAACTAGGCTTGTGTTTGGTTTTGGTTAACATGCGAGTTAATTGATTCATTGGGTGTTGTAAGAATGGGTCCCAATTTCTGTATAATAATAAGTCATGTAACAATCTCATTAAGATGAAACAATGTCAAATAACTACATTACAATATAAAAGAACAACAATAGTCATTAACATTGTATGATCCACAATAAAAGAAATTGGACTCAAATCCAAGCCCAAAGCCTGGCCAACTCGGGTCAAATCTGGTCAACGAATCAAAAGCAAACTACTGTACACTACAGTATCCCTACCTAGAATCCTACCAACCAATCAAAAGCAAACATAAGTCATGAACAGTGAATTCACTGTAGATTTTTTTGCTATAAAAGAACCGCTTGGTCTAATCAAACGGGGGACTCAGAGGCCTTCTTCTTCTTCTTCTTCCTCTTCCTCCTTTTCGTTTCCACAGACAACTTCTTCATAGGCTCATCTCTCATATTTTCCCCTTCTTCGCCGACACACACCAACACACTTCATTCACTCATCTAAACACAACCATAAAGCCAAAGAGCAAAGGAAGCAGCTCAAGAAATAAAGGAAAGTGCAACAAAAGCATAAGAAGAAGAACAAAGGACAGAATCATCATCAAAGCAAAAGAGAAAGGTTGGTACTCACACCAACTCATCTAAGCATCATCATCATCTATCATTTCTATATCACATCTATTTCTACATCTCTTCAATAAAACAGTTTAAGAAGAATATCTACCCAATCATCACTGTTAGCGCAACACTATATGGAAATTTCACTATAACAACGAAACAATCCACTAAATCATATTGCTTTAATTCCTTCCTACTTCTATTTTAATTTTGCTCATTCAAGCCCTTCGATGTTAAGGCTAATCACAAATAAAAACATATCTTGTTTCATTTTTAGTTACTCTTCCATTCTTTTGCTTTACTTAATATACTCATTAACGACACTAAATTAACATCAAAATCATAAGCTAAAAAAACATATTCAATAGACTTAATCATAAGGGTCTTGAGTCTTGACTCAAACTGTTAGAGGTATTTTAGAGTACTTTGTTTTTGTTCAAAATCCCACTCTATATCTAAGCCCTTTTTCAACCACGTACCATAGTAACCCAACAAATTTTCAGAACAAAAACCAATTTACCAGAAGCTAAACTTCCCAAGTCTATCGCCCCCATAAAACATATTTTCAAATTAAACCTTCAGATCCCGAATCGATACTTCCATACAAACAACCAATCCTCATATCAAAATTCAGATTCATAAGCTCAGAAATACTACCAATAACCCCCACAACCCAGTTTTAACCAAACCAACCATTATTTCATCCACAATTTCATATCATCAAAAATTCAAAACCATCACCGCAACAAACCTAAAATCCCAGATCTTCCTTAAATCGACCATAAATCCCAATTTTCAAACACATCATAGCACACCACAAACTTCTAAATACCATACTACACACAATAGCCCTAATACAAACCATAGTCATACGACTTTTCATATTGAAATCCACCATAACACCACACAAAATTCCAGTTTTCATAGGAAACCCCCAAAAATGTCAAAAAGGAAAGATATTACCAACCTTAGAGAGTCTGGTCATCTTTTGCCTCCGACAGTTCCTAGAATCGTCGGCTGCTCCCTTCGTTTCTACCTCCTCACCACTGAGACCCTCGATAAAAAACGTCGAGTCAAAACTAGTAAAAGCTAAAGTCAGACAAATCTCCTCTAGAAAATGGGCGAAACCTCACCAATAGGTCGATGGTCATCGCTACCTTGAGTCTGTCGGCGGTATACTCTTTCTCCCCGGCAATGACTCCTCCCTCTTTCCCTCGATTAGAAATCCCAAAAATCCAAGTTAAAAGGAAAAGTGTCAAATCTGGAACTCACAATCAACACCAGAAAATGACATGCAATCTAAAAAATCTGCTTTTACCTTCGACCTGACCGCCTTTGCCTTCGCCGATGGAAACCTCCTCCCCTTGTTTGGAGAGATCATCATAAATGATTAAAGTGTGTCGTTTACGATACATAAAATATTCGAGTCGTTACATGGAGCCAATTCAAGGGGGAGAAGATAGGGTGACAACATCTACTTGGTTGTTATAGTGACAACAATAATGCACAACCAATAGAAAATTAGATTCATGCTGACTTTTTTAATTAGATAGGTTGACCCAATTAATATAGGGTAAAAATCAAACTAAGTTCAGATTCGCCATTCTTGAAAATCCATTCCTCCGGGAAACAGGTCGTTTCTCTCTCTCATTTGTACGTAACGCTTCTCTCTCCTCATTGTGTTACGCACCTATCTCGATCCCACCCCTGCCGCCGCTTCTTCTTCCCCATCGGCGTCGGCAGTCGAACTCCTTCACCATCTCCATCGCCTCTCATCCGAAAAGTAGATTACAATCCAACGACGACCTGAGTTTGTAAGAAACGAATTCAAAAGTTCCATGATCAATTCTGCAAGAGCCGCATCTCCTACAACCGCCTCTTTTTTGACGCAGAAGCGATTGGAGTTTCTGGAAGAGGGCCAGATCTGGAGGCCGAGCTCGCGAGGGAGGTGCCCGCCGATGTCTACGTGGTTGAGGTTGACACCAGCTACGACGCAAATTCTAGGGTCGGTCAGAAAATGCCGGAGTAGGAGTAGACGGCGGGGCCGTCCAATTTGGCGGTGTTGTGGTGTTGTTTAATTATTTGTTTTTTTTTTTTTTTACTTTTAGGCTGGAAGCGCTGCTCCAGCTCAATGTTAATTTTTTTAAATCTTTTTTGGTATGATTTGGTGATTATTTTGGTATTAATTGTGGTTTTGGTATATATTTTATGTTTCTAGTATATATTATTGTTTTTTTTTTATCTATAAAGGTGACTAAAACACGTGAAAGAAAATTATAAATCACGTAAAGTATATCAGAAACCACAAATCGCTTGACTCACACCACATATATTATAAAGAACGCCACAAATCTCATAAATTGAATTTAAACACGAAAAACCAAACTACAAATATCATAAATTAACTAAAAACAAGGGAAAGCAAACCATAAATCTCATAAAGCATACTGGAATACATGCGAATTTAAGAAACTAAAAATATTGTAAAGCAGATCAAAACCAAAAAAAAAAAAAACACCACAAATGTAAACACAACTCATCTCACAAAAGCGTTGTTCTACAGCCATATCCAGCCAAATCCATCCTACATAATGCAAAGATGAATCAGTAAGATAAAGCTTCTACCATCTCCTCTTTCCATCAAATCCATCTATGAGAGAGCATACTACCTATATGTTCTTGGCCTCAAATGAAATTCTGGGTATGCGGTGCTATCAATACAGGGGAACAGAAGCCCTAATAAAGATAAATTACAAAAATTAGCTTCCTTAAACCATATCTACAAACATGTACACAAAACTAACATTAGAAATAACACATTCATGCAAACAAAGTGTAGTAAAAACTACATTATCTGCAAGCCTTTATCGACATATCCAGAACCAATCATATCTTACTAGTTTGTCGTGCTTCCATCGCTGACTTGTCTCACTGGAGTTGCCTGCGTTAAAGATGGAGTTGAATTGCTTGGAGGGCATTGACGGCTAAGCTCACATCCAAACTACTCTCACAACATCACTTCAGAAGCAAGAGTTGTCGCCTTGAGTGACATTATGGAGTGATGGAGTAGAATATGCAGGGGGAGCAAGAACAAGAAGCATTAAAATAAAAAGCATAGAACAAAAGAAACGATGATAAAATCTGCTAAATAAGTAAGGGAGCAAGAACAGGAACCATAAAAAAAAAATCCAACACAATCTGACCTATTACACATGGAGATAGAAGCCCCTAAGTCATAAAAGTGAAGCAAGAACCAAAAGCTGAGGAAGCAAACGAGATTCTCATATGGTCCCTTCAGAATTTTCTTGAAAATCTTTACCTCATACAGCAGGGTGGTGATCCTACCAGTACTCTGAACCAAATAATCAATATATAAAACTTGTTCCGTCGAAAAAGAGTAACCATCCACAATTCTAACATTACATCTATAAACTTCAGGCGCCATATATACATCTATTGATAGAGAAATATAAATTCAAGTAAAGTACTGTTGATACTTGATACAAATGACAATCAAAATAACAAATACATTCTTTTCTCACTGCCTTTAAATAACAAAACTTCTCTGCATCCAAACGAACTCAATAGAGAATCCAAAGGCTAGTATGAAAACCATGATGCATAGAACATGGATAAAACCCCGAATGTAGTATCTGTTGGTGTATAAGACATCATAGAGATACAACCAAAATTGTAAGCTACTCCTGCTTACTCTACCTCTATTCTGAATTTACATAAAAATAACAGAAATAAGTAAACACCTCTCACGACCTACCCACTCCAGGCCAGAACCAATAGCCAGCTAGCACAATCCATACCTTTCCAGCAAGAGTAGAAATCTCATGCATATATATCATCAATTAAGACAAAACAACAAGAACAACATAAAAGTTATCTAGAGGAACAAATTTCTACTTCAGTCATGCACCAAACGAGATATCCAGTGACACCAAAAGAATATAAAATCCAAAAACATAGAAGAATCAAACGCAATCTGACCTAATACTCCTTCTTCGGTCTTTCTATTACTTTTTCCAGGCGACTTCTCCCTTCTTCTTCAGTCGTTTTCAGGCAATAGCAGCAAACGGGATGCTTTCTGGGTCATTCTTTTATCGATTTGTGAAAGGGGTTTTTCTTTCAGATAAGAGCTCGGCCGGATTGGGAGCGAGAATGAGTGTCGGAAAAGAGGGGAACAGAAGCAAACTGGGATGGAATTGGAGGGGAATGGTTTCGATTTACGGCGGATTGGGGGTGACGAGGGATGGTTGAGGGTTGACTGTGGAGGAAGAGCTTTGAGGAGACGAAAGGGAGAGCCGCTTTCCCCTTTACTTTTCTCTATGAAATTTTGGTAAAGTTGAGTGAAAATAAAAGGGAAATAATAACGCTAATAATGGAGGGCGGGCACTTGAAAAATTTTGGGTCTTAGAAAGCGCCGAACTTTCTTTTGGCTCCCGCCTAGTGACCTAGTCGCCCATGATGTTCCCGCTCCAGTACATCAACGGTCACGGGGAAGTTAATTGGATTATTGTTTAACAAGCAACGGTCACGGGCATATCTCCCCATGACAAATAGTTCACTTTTGATCATGGGGGACAACCCGTAACAAAACATTCCCGTGACTGAATGTGTATTTTCTTGTAGTGACACTATTAATCTCATAAACAACAACACAAATATTTCTAAAGTATACAACAAACCTCCTAATGCATGCATACCACAAATCTTCTGAAACAAACCAAAAATATCACAAAACATACCAAAAAATTCTAAAGCACTCTAGAAACCTCCTAATGCTAACCATAAATCTCCTAAAACATACCATAAATGCCACAAAGCATACCACACACATTTTAAAGCACATCAAATATAAGGAGGTTTTTGGTCTGCTTTATGAGATTTATGCAATCTGTAGTTTTCTTTCTCGTGTTTCTTGTTTGTGTTAGGAGGTTTTTTGCGTGCTTTAGAAATATTTGTGGTATGCATTATGGTATTTCTGGTGTGCTTCAGAAGATTTTATGTATGCATCAAGAGGCTTCTGGTGTTGTTTAGAAATTATTGTGGTATGCTTTGTGGTGTTTCTGGTGTGTTTCATGAGATTTGTGGTGTGCATTAGGAGGTTTCTAGTGTGCTTTAGAAATATTTGTGGTATGCTTTGTGGTGTTTCTGATATGTTTCAAGAGATTAGTGGGTATTGGGTTGCATTAAGAGGTTTTTGGTATGCGTTAGAAAATTTTGTGGTATACTCTATGGTGATCAGATATGCTTCAGGATATTTGTGCTATGTTTTCTCTTGTTTATGGTTTGTTAAAAGAAATAACCGTGATATGATTTGTGTTGTTTTTGGTATGCTTCAAGAGATTTGTGGAGTGCATTAGGAGGTTTCTGGTGTGCTTTAGAAATATTTGTGGTATGTTTTGTGGTATTTCTGGTTTGCTTCAAGAGATTTGTAGAGTGCATTAGGAGGTTTTTGGTGTGCTTTAGAAATATTTGTGGTATGTTTTGTGGTATTTCTGGTTTGCTTCAAGAGATTTGTGGAGTGCATTATGAGGTTTTTTGGTGTGCGTTAGGAAATTTTGTGGTATACTCTACGGTGTTTTTAGTATGCTTCATGATATTTGTGGTATGTTTTCTCCCGTTTCTGGTTTGTTTTAAGGCATTTGTGCTATGCTTTCTAGTAATAATAGTATGCTTTGAAATTTGTGGCTCACGTCTAAGAGTTTTATTTTTGTTTGTTTTATAAATTTTTGTAAAGATATTTGTCGACTATTATATGAGAAATACGACAATAGGTGGAGACTCTGAATTTCCCATGTTCTGGTCATGTTCAAACTGCCACTGAGAGTACTATAGTTTCTAATTAGGATATCTAGACTAGCATATGTGGCCATTTGTGCTCGTGTTGATGAGAATGACAAGAGAATTATGAGGAAGTAGATGAAGTGTGGGACTTATGTGCCTTGGGTTCTGATTGAGGTCTTATGGAACTGGATCGTTTTGGAGATGGGAATTCTTCATGCTTTCCTTTGAAACGAAGCTAGAGAGGGTTAGCTGTAAGTGATTTGCATTTTTTTTTTATGGGCAATATCAAAAAATTTTATTGAAGCTCTATGTGCCTCCTCTTAGAAACAGAGGAAGAAACACATCTGGACCATTACAATCAACACACTAGGATTACTGCTTCTAAACTACTACATTTACACAGCTAACTACTAAACCAGAAACTATCCTATCCATATCTGTTACTGACTAAAAATCCCCCTGCAATCAGCATCCAGAGCTGCATTTCCATGTCTTGCCAGCTCGACTGTTCTGCGCACTTCCCTTACCAACTCCCCAGATTGCACAGCTACTCTTCCATACAATCTTCCACAACGTTCCCTCCAAATCAAACTCACCATTAAGGTCCAAACCAATCGCCCTACCATGGCCATTGCCTTCTTCCCTTTAAATTTTCTTACTGCCCAATCCAAGTGATTATCATATCCAGTTACCTGAGGACAACTCAGGTTCAACATTTGCAGACATCCTTTCAGCACCTGTGAAGTATATTGGCAGTGGAAAAATAAGTGATCCCTGTCCTCTGATTGTGTTAAGCAAAACAAGCAGTTGGCACTAGCTATCTTCCCCCAGCTCTGCAATTGTATAAGAGTTGTAATCCTATTTCTTGTTATAACCCAACATAGAAAACTATGTTTAGGGATCGAGTACCTCTCCCAAACCAACTGATACCAAGCCACTTTAGGCCTATCCGGCTGCAAATCTTCCCAAACTTGCTTCACTGAATAATGCAGCATCCTTTTGTCATTCCAATACACCTGTGTTCCCCAGCAACGGAAGAATCCTTCTACCTTTTCTCTTACCTTTAATAGTCTCTTCCAAACCCATGATGCAGTACTGCATTTCCCCAATTCCCAGAAGGTAAGGTCTTTAATTCTATACAAGTAGTTCCAAGCAACCCACCAGGACCCTTCTTTTGCAAGCAGCGCCCAGATATGTCTAGTTGTGCAAGCCATATTCCATGTTTTAAGGCATCTAATGCCTAACCCCCCTTCCTTTTTAGGAGTTGCCAGTAGCTCCCAAGCCATTACAGCTTTCTTCCTCATGGATTCTTCTGTTATCCCCCATAGGAAGTTACTACATATCTTTTCTATTTCTTTTATGATAGACAGGGGTAATATGAATACATTCATCCAGTAAAATGAAAGGCTACTCAGCACAGAGTTGATCAGTTGTAACTTACCCGCATAGCTGAGTAGTCTTGGCTTCCAGCCTGCTATTCTTTTAGTGATTTTCTCTACTAATGCTCTGCAATCACTTGTAGTTAATTTCCTTGCTATTAGAGGCACACCTAGGTATCGAACAGGCAGCACTGCTTTCTGAAAACCAACCAGCTGAGCTAGTCTATCATGTTCCATCTCTTCAATCCCTGCACAGAAAAGTTGGCTTTTTTCTGGATTGAACCTCAGCCCTGAAAGTCTGTAGAATCTTTCCAGCAGTCCTTTTACACTTTCCACAGCCTTTGTAGTACCATTTGAAAACAGTAATAAGTCGTCTGCAAATACCAAATGAGTGATGCCCAGTCTTTTACATCTAGGGTGATAAGGGAATTCTCCAGATTCTGCTCCCTTATTCAATATGCAGGACAACACTTCCATTGCTATTGAGAATAGAAATGGGGACAAAGGGTCCCCTTGACGTAAACCTTTCTGTGAAGGAAAGTATCCACACATTCCCCCATTTATTCCAACACTGAGCATAGGGGAAGAAACACATACCTTGATCCATGAGACAAATTGTGAGGGAAGTGATTTGCATTCGATCCTCCCTTTATCAGGAAATTATCTTTGGATGACAATTAACGGAAACACCGCCCACACCCGACAACTGATTTCCCTTCCCTCGCCATTGTAATTGTCGCGGATCACAAGTAGTCCAAGAAGAAGAAGAAATAGCCATTGTCGCATTGCGTCAAGCAGGTAAATGAGTCAACCCAAATTGACGACTGTGACCGTCCCCAAGGGTGCCCGTGAGGGCTTTGCGGAGGAACTCGACTTTCGTGGCGGCGACTTCAGATCCTATTATCAGTAACTATCGGAAAGGCGGCGATTCCTCTAATTTCCGTTGGGGTCTGGATGTTAATTATAGGTCTTCTGACCCTTTCGGTAGATGGTGAAAATAAGAGGTTGAAGACAAAAAATCGCCGACGGCAATGAACGGAAGCGGATTCAAGAGTAGATAGATGATGATTACTGGTTGAAGGAGAAGAAATCGTCGGCGGTGGCGCACGGGAATGGATTAAGAAGAGAGCAAGGGATGAGGATGAGGATAGGGGCTCGCTCGGAGAAATTATTGCCTACACCGGGAGTACCACGTCACTAATCCTATGTGGTGCTCCCGGCCAATAGCTAACTGCCAAGTATCCAAAAGTACTGGGTTAAGTGTCCAAAGCTTCATTAACTCATTTCCCCGCTGGAAACGTGTTTGGAATTTCTTTTTTGTTAATTAATTTACAACTTTCCAAGACAATTAATTGCATCTTTTCCCGCTACTTTCCTTTCTCTATTCTCCCAGTACCTTCAATCTTCTTTGTCCATTTCTTTTGGGGGAATAGAGACAAAAGCAATTCCATTGCCTATGGGGTCAGAACTCAAAACCTCTGCAATGCTTGCAGCACCAACGATTGGAGCTATCGGTGATTTTCTAACCGAAAAGCCAGCGTGAGTTGTTTACTCATACGAGCTGGGTGATGTTAGCTCTGATGAGGAGTTCCGCCAGCCGATTATTTGCGCCGGTCGAAATATTTCTCCATTTTTGTCATGACCAAAGTTTGGTTTTAAACAAACCTTCAAAAGCTGTGCTAATAGATAGTGGGTACAGCCGTACAGGCAGTTGCAGGCAACAACAACAAAAAAATCCTTTTAAGTGGTTGCCCAAACAACTAATTCACAATCCAGAACCACTAACTAAACAACTAATAATTCAAAAATCAAAGCCGACAGCAGTCTGCAGATTCGCTCGAGGTGTTGTGACTGTTATCCAAGCTCTATCGCTCTCAAATCTCAATGACCCATTTAAGGATTCTACAAAAGATTGAAATATGATCACAGTTAGATATGAACATAAAGCCAATAATTATTATTCTTTCTTTCAATAACAAAGAACAAATAGACATTATCTAGATAAATATTTCACCTGATTTTGGTAATACAATTGCCACATCGGGTTTTCCGAGTAGAAGTAAGCGCTCTGTATAACATAAGTAATTATGTCAGGATATGATAATTTAATATCTTACTATGTAGGCTTGTATTAGTTTAAACTTTAAACCTGATTTGGATGAGCCAATGGAACAACATTTGGCATCAGATTAGTAAATGGATGACTT